ACTGTTGAAATGACACCCAGACCCAGGTAAAGATTTATATCAATTTTAATTATAAATTACGTTCTTTATTAAACTGTGTTTGAAATCACAGTAACAAACCCAATGAATGTGACTCAACACAGATCACTGAGCATCCAGAGAGAGATAAAACGTAATAACTTACTGAACCCTAACTGTGGACACTGCCTATCGCTTTTCCCACTTTTGTTTGTTTAGTGTGATGTCACATTTGATCTCAGAGCTGGGAATGTTGTTGACATTGTTCATGTGTGTTGTGTACTCGAGTGTGTTCATGTGTGTTGTGTACTGGAGTGTGGTCATGTGTGCTTGTGTACTCGAGTGTGTTCATGTGTGTTGTGTACTCGGACTGTGTTCATGTGTGTTGTGTACTCGACTGTGTTCATGTGTGTTGTGTAATCGACTGTGTTCATTGTGTGTTGTGTACGGGATGTGTTCATGTGTGTTGTGTACTTCGACTGTGTTCATGTGTGTTGTGTGCTGGACTGTGTTCATGTGTGTTGCGTACTCACTGTGTGGTTCTACGCCACACACAGTGAGTCACATGTGTGAACTACTGTGAGCAGTGAAGAGGATGAGATTAAAAGACAATGAAACATGTTTAGAGTCGGGAGCACAGGTGGATCATGGGACATGGAGATTATTACAACTGGACTTTTACTAAACGCGACATCAGGGTTTAACTGGACACAAAAAGCTCTAACTCTGAAATCCCTTTCGAGTGTTGTTTTTAGGAAAAGTATTTACAGCATATTTACTTTAGGTGCGAGTCACATAAACTGCTTTTGTGTTTCATGTGAATGTATACTTCTTAGAGAAGTCACGAAATACTAAAGCAAGCGGTAGGCCATTATTATTCTTAAATAATTGTCTACATTTTTTATTCTTATCTTTTCATCACGATGCTTGTTAATTAATGAACTACAAAACTTCCAGGTTTGTGCTTCTTGATGGACTCAGACTGGCTTGGTTTAATGTGTTCACACCAGTTCACCCAATCCTCCTTTGAAAAAGCATAAGAAATTGTAAACCCAAAAGATAAGGTTGACCAAAGTCACTGTGCCACGGAGGATGCGGAGGAGGACAAATGCAAATGAAGAAAAGATGCAGACTGCATTATTTTGGAGGGGCGCTCCCTGTGACACCCCAAGGACAGTGGAGTGCATCACAGCCAATGGGAAGCCTTGTCTCTGTCTTTAGTTTCTGGCTGATTGCAGTAAGTTGGGACACAGCTTGTCATTCCTGCCCCCCTATGTATACACCCCACTCTGTACCTCAGTAATGGGGCACCTGCCTGGGGCACTTTCCTCTGTCCCGCACCCACAGCTGCTCACACACCTCAGAAACCGTCTGAGCTGACAGCTTCACGGCTCTGGACGATGAAGAATGTGGCCAGTCATCAGTGAGTCTCTTTAACTGTCCATCGTTTGGAAGATAACTGTATTGCTCCATCTCTCATGGCATTTCAATCTAATCAGGTCCTGCTGGTTCGCCTGCTGATTAGCCTGCTGGTTTTCACTGCAGGCTAATCATCAGGCTAACCAGGCCAAGGAGTCAGAGAGGATGTAGCTCCTGACCCTGGAGCATCTGTCCACACAGATTCCAAGCTTTTGGCTCCATGACTTATGCAGGTTATTGGTTTTTGATTGCATTTCTCTTCTGGAGATTTGAGCCTCTGATAATGCATTATTTCAGTGACAAAAAATACTAATGATCAAAAAAGATAACGTTTTTTAATGCAATGTAAGGGTTTCTCTAATATGAACAGTGTTTCATATAACTGTCGATCGTGCTGGACAGATTGTGCTGAAACCTCGTTTACATTTTGGTGTCTTCTATCCTGGTCCAGTCCTGGCCCAGTCCTGGCCCAGTCCTGGTCCTGACTGGTCCGGACCCGGCCTGGTCTTGGTCCAGAGAGGTCCAGGTCTGATTGCGATATAAATTGAGGAAGTTGTTTTTCTGGTGTTTCTCTCCTCTTCCTGGCTTTAATGGTGGCAGTGCTGATCTCTGATTGGTTGCCGGTCAACACAACACTGGTCCACTGCATGGACTTTTCGCCGCCTAAACTTCAGGAAGCGTGTGTCGCAAGCTTACTGAAGTTACACAGCGTTTAAATCTGACGTGTGAGCCCCCTCCCCCCCCACCCCCCCCCCGCCCACCACTACTCACCATTGAAAGTTCACATACTTTGTTTAAGTTTGAAATGAATATACATCAAATACATGCTCAAATAGATTAAATATATGATCATATTTTCCTCAGACAAATACTCACATATGCAGACACACATACGCACACACATGTAGACACACATACGCACACACACTCACACACATGCAGACACACCCACACACACTCACACACATGTAGACACACATACGCACACACACATGCAGACACACATACGCACACACACATGCAGACACAAACGCGCACATAGACACACACACTCACACTCACACATACACATATGCAGACACACACGTACAGTATGTAAGCAGGATCACCAGAGACCTCTCCAAGGCCTCTTCTTCTTCTTTGTTTCCACCAATAAGACGCTCAGTTTGATTCACACTTCTCTTTCATCCTCATCATTAACACTGACTCCAACGACAGCTACAGCGAGACGTCAAAAGAAAGTGTTTGTAACTGTGTCTTTGGACAATGCCGCCGTTTCCACAACACAAAGCAGGCCCCGCACACGGCCCTGAGTCCGCGGTGGAGGGGCGCTCGCTGTTGGACGCAGCTCATGAGCAGTAAATGCTGTAGACGAGCCAATTTCCTCCGGCGAAGCATCCTGCCGAGCGCGGAGCCGGCCGCCGCCAATGAGAACCACCTGGAGCTGAGGGAATGATTAGGACTGGCACCACTGAGAGCAAGAGCTGTTTGGTTTAGCAAGATTGAGAAGCGAGTGGGGCTGCCCCGATATGGGTTCGTTGGGGAAATATTGATGTTCGCTTTTGCTCGAGTGAGATCTGAGACGTGGGGTTGTTCTGTTGCCGCACAATTACAGGGAACGATGTTGGTTCCCTGTAATTGTGTTACAGGGAACGATGTTGGTTCCCTGTAACAGCATGTGTTTTTGTGTTTTGACACTGGGGCTGATGGGTAAGTGGCTGTGAGTGTGGGAGCGGCCACAACAGCGGGCTTTGGGCACACACACACACACACACACACACACACACACACACACACATACACGTTTTGTTACCTGGTGGGTCCCTTTGACAGGGCCGTTCAGAATGGGACCCATAGACATAATCTTTTTTTACCAAGACTTTAAGTAATACAAAACAGTCAATAGAAACCAAACAACTATTTTAAAGGAATTTTATTTTAGATTTTGTTTTCGAATTGCAGTGATTCTATTTTTGACATAGAATTTAATGCCACTCCATGTCCGATGTCTAAGGTCATCTGGTGAGGCATTAATGCAGGCCAGGCAGTGAGACTTCCCAGGGACCTTTCCAGTCTGTATGAAAGGTGTCATGGTCTTCTCCACAGCCTTCACCTCAGATGCAGACCATGGCTTTCTTACACGTTCTAGGGAGAGAAATAAAAATATATTAGCAATATACACTCCCAGGGTGAGGACCAAGCAGCCTGGCTGTAATCCCCCACCTGGTACACTTACCAGAAGGGGCACTGCCACTACCATGGGGTGCATCTGGATGAATGGTTGAAGGTTCTCCGCTTGAAGTTTCTTTTAGCCCGTCCGTTTGTGAGAGGATCTCTACTGCTCTCCCTGTCGCACAGAAAATAAAAATACAAGTGGCCTTTAGGGGAAAAAAATCATACATATTTTAATAATATCAAGAATTACCTTCAGGCTCAATTTGTATCTGGTCGAGGCTCTTTCCTTCGAATTCCGTCACTCTTCCCTGCTCCATGGCCATCAACACTTTGCTGATTTTGGCCAGCTCCAGTGTCCCCTCTGGTAGTCTGTAATATTGCCTGTGGATGCGAATGTCATGGCCGAGGAAGTTGGCAAGTATGTCCATCTCATTCTCTTTCATATTGAGAACTGTAGACATAGTAGCTATGTGCTTTCTAAGTTTGGTTGAGGATAGCATCTCTGGATGCACCGCACCACATTCTTTGGCTACCTGGCGTAGGGAGTCTGATCCCCTGATGTGGGTGTCTGCGCCCGGGCGGGAAAAGAAGTATGGGTTATGGTCAGAGATGGAACAGGCCCTTCTGTTCTCCACCAGCACCTCCATCGAAGCAATCATTTCAGGAGTCAAAAGAACCGGCACTTTCCGACTTCTTTTCCCTTTAATTTCAATGCGTTGAAAATGCTGACACAGCTTTTTCTCAAGTTGGGACAGTCCCAGAGCAATGTCAGAATGGATCCCAGTCTTACTTCTTAAGGTAAAGGCTGTCAGTGGCATCTTTGAAACCTCACCTTCCCTTCTTCGATTGAAAATGATGACCTCACAAAGAGTCAAAACTGCCAGTTTAGACCAATGCTTAGACGTTGGCTCACTTATTAGGGTTTGCACATATTCAG